GCAGCCACCCACAGATGGGAAATGAAGTTCTCAGTGGGTTGACCTGTGCCACGTGCCTTTTGAAATATCAGGGAAAACTTCCTCAGGGAAACAATGACCTGAAGCTGGCATCAAAAACATGGGCTGGCTGCAAAGTGGAGGGTGATCCCACTGCCCCTAAAGTGCCTTTTCTTATAGAACCAGCTGGAAACAGTGACCCGGCCAGGCCTCTGCTCCCTGGATCAGAATCTTAAGTCCATGTTTGTTTGTTTATTACACAAGCCTCCTGAATCAGCTTCCCGCAGTGGGGCTGAAACCACGTGAAGCTGGTGTTGCGTCCAAACCCAGCCTGTGTGCTCTGCAAATAAAACCCAGCGAGCATGGGGCCACTCACCCTCCGCCTCCCGTTGGATACCAGCAATGGATGTGGAGAAGGTCAACGCCATGGACTTCGGAGACTTTGTGGCAGTGTTTGGCAACGTGATCGAGAGGTGTCCCCTCATTGCCGCAGCCGTGTGGTCTCAACGCCCCTTCTCGGATGTCGATGACTTGGACAAGCGTTTTTGTGCCTTTATTGACGCCCTTCCACAGTCAGGTGAGGCTCTCTAAAGTTTTCTAAAGATGTTTAAACAGCGTTGCCTTCCACGCTGATACATTAAAGCCTGAGAAAGCCGGAACCTATGTAAAAACAGCAGAAACCGGTCAGAGAAGGAAAACTCAAATAGTTTCCAATCTGAGGTGGGAAACTTGCAAGAACCAGAAAAACATGGCCTGCCCTGAAGTTCGGGCTCTCCCACGTTTCATTGTATTTCTTTAGCTGTTTACCTGGCCAGGCTCAGTAAGTTAGTTTCACAAAGCTCAGGAAAAACAGGGGTAGTCTTACAAGGCGTTAAACTCAAAGTGGAATGGAACTAAGGACCATAGCTGGAAGAGGCAGCTGTTAAAGTCACCAGGTCACACGGAAGGGGAGCTATGTGGCCTCCCCCTCAGGCCAGGGACTACTCAGAGGCCAAGAGTTCGCTGTGGCCACCACTCTGTGGGAACGCCCTATATGCAGGAGAGGGGACAGCGCCATGTCACACTATCTCCGGAGCGCACAGGAATAGAGCAGAGGACTGCCATTTTCACTAAAAAACGGTCAGTCTGGACCGGGCTGTGGGTGAAGGCCTTTCAGCTCAGCAACTCCCTGGAGGAGTGAGGGCAGAGAGGGCAATTGGAAGGACTCCTTCTGCAGAAAGTGGCTGAAATGACCAATTTCGTCTGGAGAGGTAGGTGGAGAAAATGAGGGACCTCTGCGTGTGGGGAGTTGTTGTAGTGGTTAAAGCATTTGGCTGCTAACCCAAAGGTCAGCAGTTCAAAGCCTCCAGCCACTGATGGGGGGTGGAGATGAGGTAATTGACTTTCATAAAGATTGACAGCCTAGGACACCCTGTGGTGCAGTTCCATTCTGTCCTCTAGGGGCGCTGTGAGTCAGAATGGACTCCATGGCAGTGGGTGTGGTTTGGGCTTTGCTTCTGTAAAGATTGAGAGCCTTGGAAACCCTCTGGGGCAGTTCCACTCTGTCCTCTAGGGGCGCTGTGAGTCAGAACTGACTCTACGGTAGTGGGTGTGGTTTACTCACTCAAACTCACTGCCTGCGACTTGGACCAGACTCAGCGACCCCTCCTTGGGTTTCCGAGGTGGTATCACTGTGGAAGTAGATTGCCCAGCCTTCCTTCTGAGGAGTGGCTGGTGGGTTTGAACCTCCAGTCTTCTGGTTAGCAGTCACATACCATAAGCACTATGCCACCAGAGCTTCTGGGTTTGGTTTAGTGGGTTAGAAACAAAGTATAAAAAGTTTCTAATGGTTTCATTTATTCATTCATTCACTAATTCATTCAATTAACATTAATGCTTGTGGCCCCAGACTCCACTTTTGATTGTTTAAATAATCAAATAAAATAGGTTTTTTTTTTTCTTCTTTTTTTTTTTTTTTTCCACTTTTGATTGTTTAAATAATCAAATAAAATAGGTTTTTTTTTTTCTTCTTTTTTTTTTTTTTTTGCATAGTCTACTTTTACCCCTTGGATAGTAAAGAACAAATTGGGTGTCAGTGAGTCTTTGCATCATAAAAATAGGAGGAATTTGGGGGGAATGTTCAAGAAATGGTGATCCACCGGCTCAGTGACTTGTCATGGATCATCTAAGAAAACCGTCCTTTAAAGAAAACTGAAAGTGAAAACCAATGTGGGCGATACATATCATCTGTTATGATGATCATTGGCCAGTAGGTGGCAGGCCAGGATTAATATTCAGATCCAGAGCGCGCTTGCAACAGATCCTCTCTAGCCAGCTTTTCCAAAGGGTAAAAGATCAGGAGAAGGAGCCCTCTTTGCGCGGTGGTTAAGCGCTCCTCTGCAAACCGTAAGGTCATTGGTTTGAACCCACCAGCCATTCTGCAGGAGAAAAATGTGGTAGTCCGTTTCTGTAAAGATTATAGACCTGGAAACCCTATGGGACGGTTCTACTCAGTGCTATAAGCTCACTGTGAGTTGGAATCCACACAATGGCAGTGGGTTGAGAACGATGGGGGAAGGGCTTCCCCAGCAAGAGGAATGGCAATGGTAAAGGGATAATGGTTGAAACACATCGCTTTTACCATGTGGGTGTTATGTGCCATCAAGTCAGACCTGACTCATAGCGACCCCTCCTTGGGTTTCTCAGGCGGTATCACTACGGGAGTAGATTGCCCCATCTTCCTTCCGAGGAGTGGCCGGTGGGTTTGAACCGCCAGACTTCTGGTAAGCAGTCAAATGCCTTAGGCACTATGCTACCAGAGCTCTTACCTTTTCAATAGGGTTTAGCATTTCAGAATTCCAGTAACAATGCCATAATTCATTATTTAGTATTTGTTGAATGAATGAATTAGCCATTAATAATTTCTTTATAATGCAGAATATAAAGTTTCTATAGCAGCCACTCCATGGAAAGATGACTGGGCAATCTACTTCCACAAAGACTTACCTCCTCGGAAATCCAAAGGGGGTCACTGAGTCAGAATCAACTTGATGGCAGTGAGTTTGGTTTTTGGTTTTGATA